CTTCCCCCGCTCAATGGAGGTTTTCGGAGAAGACGCTAGAGAACTGAGAAATTCGAGGGAGACGATGGATGGGATATAGGGGAGAGGGGGAGGCGTATAGGAGGATGAAATTTTGAGGCAGGGTCGTAATTTGCAAAAATTCGCCGCAATTGCAGGACAGACCCTGAATACTACCTCCACCCTTGTTATAATTATCTTGGAATGGACAATTAGAATGAATAATCAAGAGCCGAGCGAAACTATAGACATGTGCTCAACTTCTTGAGCAATTCGATGATTACAAAAGTGACCAGCAGAGATAACATTAGGTGATGAGCAACAAAGAAGGACGGCTTCGACCCAACACACCCAAGGATTCTCCACATCCACTGGCTACACCAGCCGGAAATGGTGCCCCTACCGTAATAGAGGCCACAGGCCCTTAGCGGAACTTCGAAACAAGAGTATACCGACAGCTCTCGTGAAACCGGCTGATGAACTTACAGTAGCTTGGGACAAATGCGACTTCACATTGTCCCACAGAATTAAAAAGTTAAGTGAAAGTAAGGCACAGTTAGATAAGAGGTGACAAGTTACGGAGTAAGAACCCAAACGAATTTCAAAGAAACAGCGCTACTAACTGAAGCAATTAGCAGCACCAGAATTGATATTTTCTGTTCTCCTGGTTGTATCGACAAAGTCACTAGTGAGTATTGGTTAGCAACAGAAGTCCTAGCCAATTTAAGTTCACGTACCTCTGGCCTTTTCTTCGGGAGCGTTGTCAATATCTTCGTACTTGCGATACTGCGCACCTTTTGATGCGGCCAGCACTGCAATTACATTGAGATACCAACTGAAGACAATAAGGAAAACAAAGATGAAAGATAGTTCCCTCTTCATTTGAATAACAAATACCTTTAAATCTAAGAAAAATTGAAAGGAATTTTGTAAGTAACCTTTTGTGATGGCAGATGTCAAGGTGGTTTTACCATGATCAACATGACCAATCGTACCCACATTGAGATGGGGCTTATCGCGCTGAAAATGAAATTACCTGATCTCAAAAAAATTGCATAATGTTGTATTAAACATTGAAAATGAACAGTAGTCGTTATTCATAGGATATTCTACTGAATTTTTCCACGAAAGACAATGGCAAGAAGAGCAAAAAAATAGAGCAAAGGTGCGCAAAATAAAGAGTCACGCTGTAGTATCCTCTGTTTAAGCTTATCTGATGTACAGTCACATTTATTATACCTATAACCTTACAACCAGGATCCTTACAAGCTTACGCCGTAGGTTTGGGGTTTCATGAGGGGTGTCCACTTGCTCATCCCTTAGAGGAAAGCAGGATGGGGCTTCATAGAAATATGTTCTTGGCTGTTGATTGCCGGTTATTCCTGTTTCCGGTGCACTATACCCCCTCCCCCTGCTCGACGCTCGACACGGCAGTTTTTTTTGGGAGCAGAAAATGGAGGAACTTTTGAGAACTTCGCGAAAAAATGGGAAAATTGGGAAAATTTAGGAAAGATGATAGAGAGAATGGGTGATGGGATGGGAAGTATGGAGTCGTACAAGATCGAAGGAGGTAGGAGGGGGCGTGGTAGTACTTCACAAAAAAATCTTGCCCCGCTTATAACAGCATTTAGACACAATCAGCGATGAGCAGGGTGGCGGAAAAATCAGCGGACATTCAAACTACTGCTGTGCTATCTTCTTTATCGCGCACCTCTA